GGCCTACGGCTTAGTATTCTTATTCTCTAAATTTATCTTATAGAGAGTACACTTTTTTATTTATAAGAACACATTTTATAAGAACACTGAGGCTGAAATTGCTTAAAAATTAAGAAAAAATAAGAACAAATTGAGGCTGAGGTTGAATGTCAAACTACAAAAACCAAAAAATTATATCTGTACCTTATGTGTAGTAGGTGTGACTATGCAATACCCTCTATAATACAGTACATGCTGTACCTCCCATTTGGGGCCATTTTTTAACCGGACCATTTTTTTACGCCTATGTGCCTTTCATTCAGGGGCCATTTTTTCAAATTCAAAATTCAAATTCAAAATAACTTTGTGCAAACTCGAGGAAAATTTGAAATGTACAGAAAAATTGATAGTTATATGCAAGATATAAATATGAAACATAGATGTGTATAAGAGACAGTTTGAATGTTGTAAATCCAGTAGCAGTGATATTTCTTTCATCAGTTTGTAATTAGCATATGTATAGCACCTTCGTCGCTCCTCCTCATCAGCTTGTACTCTTTTCATACACGTCCTTATGTCATCAACGGACTTAGACACTAACTTTACAGCGACTTCTTTCTGCTGATAAGTCGCCTTCCACACCTCTTTGGTGGTACCTTTTCCGATTCGTTTCACCAGACTTATCTCCAGAATATCCTCACAGTGCAACATCTGGGAGGCATTATTAGAAAACCAGGTATTAGAAGATTTTTTGAGAGGTAACAAATGTTTTGGCAGATGGAGGCTTGTGGAATCAACTCGGATGTATTTCGTACGGTTTCGCTTTTCTTGAATGAGCTGATGGCGGAACATTGCATGCTTGATCTTGGATTCCCGTTCCTGTCGGCTTCTTGTCGGCAGACTTGACTGACCATTCGTATTCCATTGAAGAATAGGAAGAAAAAGAATTGACTCGACTACAAACAGAGCAGTCAGCACGAACAACAACATCAAAAGACGCCATATGTGTTTAGTCTTCATGTAAATCGTTCTCAAAATACCTTGATACACTAAACCAATTAAGAAAGAATACAGGCTATATATTTAGTAATTCAAGGACTGGTGTAATAATAGCCACTGCCATTTTTTTTCCCCAGTTGCATATTTTTTTTGGCTCATTAAATCATATCAACATCTATAATTAACATCTATATTATTAGCTTGTACCAGGGAGTTGTTATTTAGACAACTCCCTGCTTGTACATTTAAAATGAAGTAGGCCCTATTGTATTTTTATCTTTCTTTTTCCCCAGTTCATTTTCAAGCACTACTTACTCACTATTTAAGAATACATGACCAAGAAGGACTAGGCCACTAAATAGATAGGGCCCTACCACTGTACCAGTGGCAGTAAAAAAGCGTCTCATTTCAATTTCATGCATATCATTCTCACAGCGAATGCAGAGTCAACACAATGTCCAATCCCTGTCTCTTATACACATCTAGATGTGTATAAGACTATATTCGTTGGAGTGTTTCAATATTCATTGGAGTGCTTGTACATTCATTGGAGTGCCTGTGTATTCGTTGGTACTGTTTGTATAATCGTTGAAGTGTTCAAGGTTGCCCTTTTGGCGTTCCATAGGCTTTAGCCAACAATCTGCCAGCCAACAACAAGCCAGCCCACAATTCCAGCCAACAATAAGATAAGATACGATCGCGTTGGACTGCAGATTTCACTATTTACTTCACTGTGTGTGCGGCCGCGAAATTAGCGATGTTTTTCAAAACAGCACAAATTCTTCAATCTAATGGCCACGGCTAAGGGATAAAAAGTGCGGATGGCGGGGAAGGAGATGTGGGAGGGGTAGGGACAATATGAGAGGAGTTGGGAAACAAAAAGGAGAGGAATTGGGAAACAATATCGTTCGAAAACGACAGATTGTTCCTAAAAATCCTTTGGATTAGACATAGGCATGGTGTATCCCCTCATTCACACCCCATCGAGGTTAGAGGGGGACCGGAGGTCCCGTTTAATTAGCTCCACCTTTTTATAATTTTCAATCATTTTTATACTGGTGGTAAATGTAGGTAACGATTGCTCGAAAGGGAAGATTGTTCCTGAACATCCCTTGGTAGGATTATTGTGATACCCCATCACCACAACAAATTTTAGGTGGGAAGAATTTTAGGCGGGAGGGGTGTAAATTTAGAGAACAATTATTCGAAAACAGCAGATTGTTCCTGGAAATCCTTTGATGGGGTTATGGTGCGATACACCCTCAACCCCCCCCCCCCTCATCGAAGTTAGAGTGGGACCGGAGGTCCGGTTTAATGGCCACACCTTTTTATAATTTTCACTCATTTTTATATACTGTTAAGGGGTGTAATGTAAGAGTAACGATTTCTCAAAAACGGCAGATTGTTCCTGAATATCCCTTGGTAAGAGTATGGTGTGATTCCCCTTCAATCACCCCAATAAAGTTAGAGTGGGACAGGAGGTCCGGTTAAATAGCCCCACCTTTTTATAATTTTCACTAATTTCAAACTGTTGGGGTGTATAGGTAATTTATTGAGAACGGGAGATTGTTCTTGAAAATCCCTTGGTAGGATTATGGTGTGATACTCCCTGATTCATCCCATCGAAGTTAAAGTGGGACCGGGGTCCCGTTTAATAGCCCCATTTAAACAAAAAATTCCACTAAATTTCAGGTGGGAGTAATTTTTAAGCGGAAGGGGTGTAAATTTAGAGAACTTGAATTACTCGAAAACGGCAGATTGTTCCTGGAAATCCTTTGGTAAAGGTTATGGTGTGATACCCCTTCAATCACCCCAAAAGCGTTAGTGGGACCGGAGGTTCGGTTTAATAGCCCCATCGTTTTATAGTTTTCACTCATTTTCATACTGTTAGGGTGTAAATGTAGGTAACGATTTCTCGAAAACGGCAGATTGTTCCTAAAAATCTCTTGGTAAAATTATGGTGTGTGCCCACCTCACTCACCCCATCGAGGTTAAAGTGGGACCGGGGATACCGTTTATTAGACCCACTTTCAAAAATTTCCACTAAATTTCAGGTGGAAGGAATTTTTAGGCTGGAGGAGTATAAATTTAGAGTACAATTACACGAAAATGGCAGATTGTTCCTGAAAATCCCTTGGTGGGGTTATGGTGTGGTACCCTTTCATTCACCCCAACTCAGTTAGAGTGGGACTGACGGTCCGGTTTAATAACCCCGCCTTTTTATAATTATCACTCATTTTCATACTGTTGAGGGTGTAAATGTAGGCAACGATTTCTCAAAAACGGCAAATTGTTCCTAAAAATCCCTTGGTAAAATTATGGTGCGATAACCCCTAAATCACCCCTAACAAAGTTAGATTGGGACCGGAGGTCCGGTTAATAGCCCACCTTTTTATAATTTTCGCTCGTTTTTATTATGATTTGGGTGTAAATGTGGGTAACCATTTCTCAAACCGCCAAATTGTTCCTGAAAATCCCTTAGATAGGATTATGGTGTGATACCCCCTCAATCACCCCAACAAAGTTTCTGCCGTTTTCAAGCAATCGTTACCAATATTTACACCCCTCCCCATACCAGTACGAAAATGAGTCTAAATTATAAAAAGGTGAGGCTATTAGACGGGACCTCCGGTCCCACTCTAACTTTGATGCCGTGAATGAGGGGGTATCACATCATAACCCCACCAGGGGATTTCCAGGAACAATCTGCCGTTTTCGAGCAATCGTTACCTACATTTACACCCCTTCCGCATACCAGTACGAAACTGAGGAAAATTAAACTGGTAAGGGCTATTAAACGGGACCTCCGGTCCCACTATAACATCGATGCGGTGAATGAGGGAGTATCACAACATAACCCCACCAAGGGATTTCCAGGAACAATCTGCCGTTTTCAAGCAATCGTTACCTACATTTACACCCCTCCCGCATACCAGTATACGAAAATGAGGAAAATTAAAGTGGTGGGGGCTATTAAACGTGACCTCCGGTCCCACTCTAACTTTGGTGCGGTGAATGAGGGGGTATCGCAACATAATCCCACGAAGGGATTTCTAGGAACAATCTGCCGTTTTCGAGTAGTCGTTACCTACATTTACACCCCTCCCGCATACCAGTACGAAAATGAGGAAAATTAAACTGGTGGGGGATATTAAAAGGGACCTCCGGCCCCAATCTAACTTCGGTGCGGTGAATGAGGGGGTATCACATCATAACCCCACCATGGGATTTCCAGGAACAATTCGTCGTTTTCAAGGAATCGTTACCTATATTTACACCCCTCCCGCATACCAGTACGAAAATGATGAAAATTAATGTGGTGGGGGCTATTAAACGGGCCTCCGGTCCCACTCTAACTTCGATGTGGTGAAAATTATAAAAAGGTTAGCAATAATTATCTACATTTACAGCCCTTGCGCAGACCAGTAGGCCTGTTAAAATGAGTGAAAATTAAAATGGTAGGGAAAACGTGAGCTCCGGTCCCTATCTAGGCTTAACCTTGATAATGAGGGGATAACATCATAGGCCTAAGTGATTTTTAGGAACTATCTGTCGTTTTCGAACAATATTGTTCCCAATTCCCTTCCGATTGTCCCGACCCCTTCCCCTTATCTCGCCATCCACTAATTTTCATACTATTAATGTTACCCATCCACCCACCCCCACACCTTCTATTCCCTCAGCAGTGGTCGCCGCACCCACGGTGAAGTAAATAGTGAAACTGCAGTCCAACGCGATCGTATCTTATCTGGATTGTTGGCTAGAATTGTGGGCTGGCTTGTTGTTGGCTGGCTTATTGTTGGCTAACTTGACTCAAGTAAGTCACTCCTACTCTAGGCCTACCGCCGTATTTAGCTAGCGATGCTTACCGGAAATCGTAATATGCGACCGCAGGTCGAACGTCAAGGGTGGTTGACCTATCTGTTGATGGGGCGGGGCCTAGTTCTATACGGACGTACGCGTACTCACGTACGTGAAGTGTAGCGCTAGCGCCTAGGCCTAGTTATATGACAAAAGAAAAAAAAAAAAAAAAAAAAAAAAAAATGAATAAATTATAAAAAAAAAAAAAAAAAAAAAAAAAAAAAAAAAAAAAAAAAAAAAAATTTTTTGTTTTTAAAAATAATTTTTTTTTTACAAAAAAATAATTATTTTTGTTTTTTTTTTTTTTTTTTTTTTTTTTTTTTTTTTTTTTTTTTTAAAAAAAAAAAAAAAAAAAAGAGGGGGTTTCTTTTTAAAAAAAAAAAAAAAAAAAAAAAAAAAAACACACTGTGATTGGCCAATATCAAAAATTTGACAACTTTTTGACAGACAACATAAAAAAAAGTTGAACATGTTCCACTTTTTTTGATACAAGACGTTTTTTTTGCGTGGAAGACGAACGCCCAACGAATGAGAAACAAATGCTCATCGTACAACTAGCGTCCCGTCGAGAGCCAGTAAGGGCCCCGGGGCAACACCTCACATGCCCCCCCCCATCACTTGGGACCCCCACTCGGCCGCTCCCCAACCACTGCAGATTCCCGACCACAAAGAAAGTCTCTATGCAGGAAATGGCATCCCCCCCCCCCCCCCCCCCCGGATCTGTGATGACCACATACAGAGATTTCATGACGGTGAGCACCTATGGATTGGGGGTGGGGGCATCTGGTTTGGAACGGGAGAGCATTGGGTGGACTATTCCCCTGGGGGATTATTCATCAAGATGTGGCCTTCTAAACTGAACTGTGTAAGATGAATCATTATATTAATAATAGGTCATCTCAAAATTCCATGCTATGTTATGGCCTTCTAAACTGAACTGTGTTTAAAGATGAATCATTATATTAATAATAGGTCATCTCAAAATTCCATGCTATGTTATATTTTCCAGAGGCAGAGCTGCGAAAAACTTACGAATATGGCAACTTCATTCCTGGAAATGGCACTTTTTAACTTTGAAGAGATGGGTTATATGTTTCAATTTTTGGTTTTTTCTGTTGCTAAGTTTGTTTTTGTGGGTTTAAATGAAATAGTATTGCTGGCTACATGTACAGTACAATGGC